TCAAGTGATGATCTTCTGGTAAATTTTTTTAAAAAACCCACTCTCTGAAAAATTTTTGCCCTTATTTTTTCCAGCTTTATTGATATATAATTGACATATAACATTGTATTGGTTTAAGGTACACAACGTACTTTCATATATGTATGTATCATAGAATAATTTCTACAGTAAGTTTAGTTGACATCTATCACCTCACATAGTTATAATTTTTTTCTTGTGATGAAAATGTTAAGATCTATTGTCTTAACAACTTCCAATATGCAATACAGTACAGTATTGCTAACTGTAGTCACCATGCTGTACATCCCCAAGACTTACTTATCTTATAACTGGAAGTTGGTACCTTCTCACCACCTTCACCCATTTCTCTACCACCACCAGCACCACCACCTGCCTCTGGCAACCACCAATCTCTTCTGTTTCTATGGGTTTTTTTTTAATTGAGATGTAATTGGCATATAACATAGTTTCAGGTGTGTAGTATAATGATTCAATATATGTATATATGCCCTTATTTTGAAAGCTAATTTTACTAGATATATTATTATTGGTTGACATTTATTCTCAGCAAATTATATCATCCTAGTCTTCTGGCTTCTCTAGTTGAAATTGGACAGTCAGCAGTGATTCTAATTATTTTTCTTTTGTAGGTAATCTGATTTCTCTCTGGGTGCTTTAAGATTCTGTCTGCCTTTGGTGTTCTACAATTTTATTACAGCGTATCTTTTTGCTTTTATGTATGGTGAAATGTATTGGCTGCTCAAATATGAGGGTTGTTTGCTTTCATTATTTCTTGAATATTCACTGGCAATATCTCTGAATATTGCCTCTTTCCCATTTTCTCTAATATTGCCTCTTTCCCATTTTCTCTAACATTGCTTTCTGGAGCTTCCATAGATATTCATGCTCTATTTTATGTCTCTTAACTTCTCTTTAGTAATTTGCCATTTTTTTTAACTTTTCACACTGCATTCTGTATAATTTACTCATATTACCTTTCAGTTCACTAGCCATGTACAATGTGATATTAAATTTCATTGGTTCATTTTTCACTTCTAGAAGTTTGATTTGGTTCTGTTTCTGAATCAGCCTAATAATTTTTGGTAGTCTGTTTTTCCTGAAAAATCTTGTCAGATACAGCTTCATATTCTTTAAACTTGTTAAACTTATTTTGTGTTCCATATCTAATAATTTCAATATCTGAGGTTGCAGCTCTGATTCTGCTTTTGGTTGTTTCTGCTGGTTCCTACTTATGGTGGCTTCTGTCCTTTTAAGTTTAGTAGTTTCATATTTTGAGCATGTATTTGCTTGAATGTGTCTGTGGGGATTCTTTAAGGGCTGGGTCTTTCCTGGGAAGATTTGTGTGTATGTGTATGTTTCTGTGACACTGGGGGGGGGGGGCTGCAATCCCATGTAACTTTAAATTACAATTCTTAGATTATGGTTTTTCAGGCCACGGTTGTTATAGTGGCACAGATTATAAAGATACAGTTTTCTTTTGTTTGTTTATATTTTTCTGTGTGTGTTTTTAAATATCACTAATGACCAAGATGGTTTACTGCCTGCTTCTACGGGCTACTATTTTGGAATTTTTTCCCTTGTTTGCCTAATCTCTGAGTATATATAACCTTCCTCAGACCCTAACTTTATGTAGAGTATTTGCCTATCTGGACATGGACAATTATTCTGCTTACCACAAATGATATATTCCCATCTTTCGGGGAATATAAGTCTTTTTCCTCAACTTCCTTTTTCTTCCTTTCTTCTGTCTTTTCTTTCTCCTTTATTTCCTTTTCTTTTTTCTTTCCTTCTTAGTCTGTTTGAGCTGCTATAATAAAAATACCATAAAATGGGTGGCTTATACAGAACAACATTTTTCATAGTTCTGGGAGCTGGAAAGTCCAGGAGCACCTAGCCAGCAGATTCAGTAGGGTGGCTGGTGGGGGCTCACTTCCTGGTTCATGGATGGCACCTCTGTGTCCTCACAAGGTGGAAGGGTGCAAGGGTGCTCTCTTGGGCCTCTTTTATTAGGACACTAATGCCATCCCTGAAGGCTCTGCCCTCATGACCTAATCACCTCCTGAAGGCCCCATCTCCTCCTAAAACTATCACCTTGGGGGTTAGGAGTCCAGAACATGGATTTTTTTAGGCTATAGCTGCTTCCTTCCTTCCTTCTTGCCTTCCTTCCTTCCTTCCTGTCATAAATGTCATGGAATGACTTGAATAGGATCATGCTTTGGCTCAGCCAGAAAGGCATATGGAATTCTTGACCAAAACCACAAAGCTTAAGGAAGTTGTACTAATAACAGACTCTAATTGTAGGCAAAAAATATATCAGACTTACAGGGCACAGTACATTCAGGACATCAGTTTGCCTGTGCCATCCCTTTTTAAAGTTCTGCAAGAAGTCTTTGCAAATTTTCCTACTTTTTATACATCATGATATCTGTCCCATAACCATTATAATGCTCAGTTGTATTTGGGCATTTTCCCCTATTAGTCTTTCCTGTAGCCTGTGTGCATATATCCTGCTTTTGTGTTTGCTTTGCATTTCTTGCTATTAAAATCTATTCTAGTTTTTGTGGCTACTTAAAGTTTATTTTTAAGATCCTATGACATTTTTCTGATATTAAAGTTTTCTACTGGTTTTTCATGTTTTGAAAATTTATTCTTAATTTCATTATTTAAGTCATTAATTAAAAAAGTAAATACTGCCTTCTTCATAGGCACAAATATAGGAATCTATGACTGTGCCAGGAAAATCACTGATACATTAGCTCTTTTTCCCTGTCAGTTGTTTATCATATATTTACTTAATGCAAGGCATGACAGCAGTTGCTGTGAGAATATTGTCCCTTCTATCAGAAACTTTATAATTTAAAAGACTGCATCAGATAATACAAAAACAAATATAGCCAGTTACAATAATTGACTTGTATATTCTAGCATAATAATATTTGAAGCTAAATGATCCATGGGAAATCTTTCTGCAGGGGGGTACTATTAAGCTGTAGATCTAAATAAGATTTTATTTTAAAAAGTTGTGTACTACCCTGGTAGATTAAATACACGTTCTTAAAATATTTTAAAATACACGAGAGCAAAAAGAAAATAAAAAATGTCCTAATCTCACCATTCAGAGATAATCAGTTTATTTGACTATTCAAGTTGATCCTTGAACAATGTGAATTTGAACTTTGAGGGTCCACAGATGTGGAATGTATTCACTAAATATGCTATGTACCACGCAGTCCAGGCTTGGTTGAATGTGTAACCATGGATATAGAGGGCTGACCATAAAGTTATACGAGACCATTCAACTATGCTGGTGTCAGAGCCTTTAACCCCCATGTCATTCAAGGGTCAACTCTATTTACTTCTTTTCCATGCTCAGAACATATATTTTTTCTATAGAGAGCCATGCCAATATAGTTCATCAAACTAATTTTATCCTTTCATATATTGTAAATATTTTTAATGCCATCAAAGTTTGTGTGTGTGTGAGAGAGAGTGTGTGTGTGTGTGTGTGTGGTATGTAATGATGTGCAGTGTTTGGAAATAGGGGAGAGGCCTCGCTTCACAAAGTGACTCATTCCTGTTACTTTCCTAATAACAGTGTAATGAGCCTTCCTTATTTTCTAGTTTGGTAGGTTTAACAATCCCTTTCTTAATCATATACTAACTTTCTAAGTTACAATTTAAAAATATTTCCACGTTCAAAATATTTAGACAACTTTGCAGGGTATTTAATCGAGTTACCACTTATTGAGATTCTACTACCTCTATATAAAAGAAGATGAACTGTGTTCTACACTCAGCTAATTTTTCTTATTTTCTTATTTAGCTTTATAACTGCTTAGTTAAAGCTTATCTAATTACTAAATGGGATGATAAGTAGCTTCTTTGTCATATTGCTGCATTGACACTTATGGTAATTAATATGTCTATGTCACAGAAGTGATTCCTGCTACCTAATAACTTTTTATTAAGATTTTATTAAAATGTGAGAAGTAAGGCAGTGTTTTCTAGATCATAATAATTAAACATAGATCTTTGAAATAATTCCCAGATGCTTATACTTTTTCTAGTGGCACTGGACTTTTGAAAATTAACACCCACACAAAAATAGAAATTCTCTCATCATCAGCCACTCACTCCTAAGTACCTCAAGCAGCATTTTCTTCTCACAATAACCCAAAGAAGACCAAGCCTAAGAACCTGTGAAATCTTCCCTGATAAGTCCTGACAGAAACCGTGTTTATTTCTGTTTGAAGAAACCCAAGTTAAGCTTGCAGTTCTACATTTTCATATGAAAATTAGACTGCACTTCTTAATCTTGATATGGCCTTCACACCAGCCAATACTGAGATCGAAGCCAGTGTTCTGTCCTTGTAATAGGCCAGAAAGTACCTTATCTATTTACAATAGATACACTCAGCAAATCTCTGATTAGCTTTGAGTGGTTTACCTTAAACTTGCATATTGCTTTTTGACAAGTTCTGAATTAATTTAAATTTAGTTTCTCTAAAGTATGGATATGTCACTTTGATTCTTTGATGCACTAATAGAATATATGTTAGCCAACAATCATTCACTTTTAAATTAAGCTTAATTTTTACAGGTTACTGCAAAATTACCCTAAAAATCTTCTCCAGATGAATTTACTTCACATAAGGTGTGAATAAAATTTTTATTTCACGCTTTCTTAGAAGTTATGTATGTTCCAGTAGAGGGGCATCGGGGGGAGGGGTGAAGAGTGTGATTCTTTTTGACAAAGCCACATTGTACTTAGATATAGTGGGTATATACCATTTCACCTTTGAAAATGCCCTGGGTTTACCAGCAGTGTAATATAATACTGTTGTGAGCAGCAGAAAACAAAAAAGGTAAGCTAATGTGTTTTCTTTTCAAGGTTGGTTAGAAGAGATTTAAAGTGTATAAATTATCATTCTTTGTGACTATTCTTTAGATTTCAGTTGTGCTTCTTAAAACTTCTACAGGTACTTAAATCAGATGTTGAGGAACTTGTCTCCAGAAGCTATTGGGACACCCTGAGACGTAACACAAGCCAAGCACTCTTTTCAGACCTCGCAGAGGTATAATTAAACTTCAACCAGGTCCTGGTACTTTTTGCCATTTTGTTCATCTAGTCCTCGTTTCATTTTAGAGTCACAATGATGAAACCAAAAATATATTTTCTATTTTCCCTTTTCTCCAGTAAAGCAATAGTTCCTGTATATAAATGGTATGTTTGAATGTGTCCGATCTGCTGGCAGGGGCTACAAGTTTACCTATAACAGTCTATATTAAATTCACTTGCTTGTTGTGGGAAACATGACTTTCCAACTTAATTAAAAGGACACACTGTTATTTTTCACTTAAGGATCACTTTCAGGAAATTTGAAAATAATGTTTATAGTTTCACTGAGTCTTTTAACCTTACAGTTTGCAATGTTACATGAAATGCTGAAACTTCTAACTTGGTAAAAGATTGCTGAGGCTTTAAAGTTACAATAGATTTAAACAATCCAAATCCCTAATTTTAATAGTGATGGCTTACAGTCAGTCAAGGAAGGGAGGAATATTTTAGCTTGACATTGCTTAGGATTGCCAGTGCATGGAAAATTAAAAGCAGACTGACCATTATATCATTCATTATTGGTTTTGAATTCCATAGAGACCCTTACCTTTTTTGCTGTACTCAGGTGGACTGCTCCCACCACCCCACCTTCATTATGCCTCTGTTAATAGGGATTTGTCATTTTTAAAAGATGGGCTGTGTCTTGTAAATTAAATACTGTGCTATGTTTCCTATTGAGAATATTAGAGATGGCTGTTAGTCTTACCACAAAGGACTTTTCTGTAGATACTAAGAGATGTATTTTTCATTATCTTTTTTCTCTTTAAAGTTGGCTCATTCCTTTTTCTAAAGTTTGACTTTTAAAAATTACACTTGGGGAGTGAATATAGCTCAGTGGTAGAGCACATGCTTAGCATGCATGAGGTCCTTGGTTCAAACCCCAGTACCTCCATCAAAATTAATTTAATTTAGCTTAAAAATAAAAATACAAATTACACTTCAGAATAGCTAGAGAAGTAAACTGGAATCAGGTGTGACTTCTGTTATCCCACATGTAGTGTTACTCAATGGACACCTCTAGACCAGGGCAAACACTTGGAAATGTCAGTTTTATCACTTGTGCTCAGTTTTAAAATCCTAAAACAAAGAAGGCATATTGCCCTACTCTGTCTGCAATATGTAAATATGATATAATTATGACCAGTAATTGACCTTTAAAAATTATCTTTTCAATTTTAACTATTTTCAGGTGTGAAGTACTAATAGCTATTTCATTTGCATATATTTTAGAAGGCCTTAATTCTGTAATCATTTATGCAGGCACATAGTAGTCAGGGCCTAAAAGTAAGAGCAACTGGGGACACTAGTCATTAGAGTCCCTACAAGCCAACTGTGCCCAGCTTCAAATTGGCTCTGCCCACACTAGACTGTCCACCTCTCAGCCTCCAGCCTATCTTTAATCTCACTTAACTCTGCTGGAAATTCTCACAATTAGACACAATCTACTTATTAGATGTTGAATTTAATTTAGTCTTGGGAGGTTTAATATCGGAAGGCCAGTGAGCTCTCATACGCACTCGAAGATTGCAAGATTGTGTAAGCTCTTCTGAAGATGTTTATCTCTCTCTTAGATGTGTGCTAGAGCTGGTTTATGGCTTCCCAGGGCTAATTCTGCACATCTCTTCTGTGACATCCTGTTGGTACTTTCCAAGCAGCGATGACAGGAGTATTAATACCATAGAAATTGCAAACACTAAAAATCAGGCTTTTTTCCCCATTGAGAGCCAGTTTACTAGCATACCATTGGCTGTAATTTATCCACACTGTAATCATAAGCTGCTAAATTAATGAACTGACCCAAACATCACAAAAATATGATGGAGAGGAGAAAAAGAAGAAAAGAAAACAAAATTTATATTGTGTTTCTAAGTAAAATAATTATTGGGGGATTATCTCTACTACTACCCTCCACATTAGATAGGCTAATTGAGAATTAGCTGTAGTTAAATTAGAACTCATTATAATTCCTTATAGGTTACTACTGACGCCAGTGTAACACTGAATTGTTTGTAGTATTTCAGGATTCAAGTTAGTTAAAAAAGAAAGCTTAGACATCTATTTGTATTTCTTTGTTACATGTTTAAAATATAACTATTGAGATAAAGCAGTTCTCCTTGCATAATGTAGGTAAATTTGAGATTAGCCTTTCATATCATTATTCCATAGCTGTTTCTAACCATAGGTTTCTTCAGTTATAGTAAAACCATGTTACAGTGAAAATTTGAATATGCCACAGCTGATACCACTTTCAAACCAAAATAATAGATAATAAATTCATAGTACAATATAAGCCCCCATCATGCAACCATTGAGTACAGTCTGTGGGTACCCGAATTACAGAAACTGTTTTGAACTTAATAAATGAAATTTAAAAGTTTTATTTGCTTTAGCCTTTACTAATCCTTATAAGTTTCAATAGATGATTCAAAACGTTCACTAACAAATGAAGAGTTTGAAGATTTCCTCCAGCTCGTGGATAGAGCTTGATAAGATTATTATCACATAGTAATCAATAAAAATATGTTGAATTTCTTAAAACTCTTTAATAAACTTTTCATTTTGTGCAAGTTTAATGTTTATTTCATTTTTGATGAAATCATTTAAAGTAATTTTTAATCAAAACAAAGTTAGATAATGGCCTTTCATGTAAATGGCCAATGGGTTCTTTTGTGGCTTTTTCTTGCTTTGTTATGAAAACACCTGAATTCGTTTTATTTTAACAATGAGCACAAGAATCTAAGGGATAAAGTCTCTATTTTTGTCTCAACTTGCCTGTGATTTAAGTTATGTAACACTGATAGGCTACCAGGGACACTGGTATGGTTTTCAGTGACTCCCAGCAGTACTCGGTTTCACTGAATGGAGGGAAAAGTTTTCACCATTTCCATTTTCCAATTTTTTCTTTACTGTCAAACTGTTCCTTATGCCTCTATGGGTCTGGATTATCTGGATAAGTGCAACCTAAGTCTAATAAGATTTTGATGATGAAAGACTGTAAATGAAGATTTGCTCTGCTCAGTGGGCATGAGAAAAACTCACTGAATGAGGTCATTACTTAAAACCTATATAAAACAAAGCCATCTCATTTCAGTGCATTATGTCTCGAGGTAAAGAACTAGAGCCCTAGAGGAAAACACTCCATAATTGTGTTACCTGAGTTCACTAACTTTTGGTGTTCCTGTAACCTCTCAGTTAAAGGCTTTTTTTTTTTAAAGGTCTCTATACAATATATGTGTAGTTTCAATAACAAAAAAGAAATGAGTATACCATGTAAAAATATTTTTTGCATTAAGCTGCAACATTGTTACCTTTTCTACCTTGTCTAGTTTTTTTCAACTTCCTGGAGTATACTGATTTGACAGAAATAAATAATAGCTAACATTTATTGAGCGTTGACAATCCACTGGTTATAGTACTGACTTAACATGTGTTTTCTCATCCTCACAACAATCCTTTAGGGTAAGGACTGTTGTTATTCCTGAGGATTATAGTATCGTCAGTGAGATTAGCTTCCGAAGGTCGCTTAACTATTGAGGAAAAAAGTCAGGATTCAAAGCCAGAAGTCTGACTCTTGAGTTCCTCATCCTGTTTGCTCACCACACTACTGCTTATTTGTGACTAACGCAACAACTTTTTCTGAAACCGCATCCCCCCTCCTCTTCTTAGCCATGTGGCGCCTCTTCCACATTCCATTCCTCTGGCTTCCAGATGGAGACCCCGGTTCTGCATTGCTGACTTCTGACTGGCTAGAGCCTCCACTCTTAGGCTCCATTTAGGTGTCCTTCCTCCCCCTACTCAATTATGCTGTTCCTTGGATAGTAAACTGATTAGACTTGATTATAAACAATCACAAAATTAACATGTACTCTGTAATTAACATGAGATATCTTCCCCCCCCACCCCACCAACCACAGAGGTCTTAATGCTTTTGTCCAAAGCATCTGAGATTACCAATAAAAACATTTGTATATTTCATTTACACTCATATTCCAATTTTATCTTCAAAATGGTTATTAGCGATAGAGTTTTTCCCATTTTACAGATAAGCTGAAGATCAAAAAAAGTCAGTGAACTCGGGTCTTCTGAGTTTAAATCCTGTCCTCATTCCATCACATCAGTCTGCCTTCTCAATCGAAAGCTACTGGTGAAAGTGGCAGTGCCTTCTGAGCACTGCTCAGAAACTACCCTAGTCTACTGTCGCATATGGGGCCTTGAAAGCCTGGCACCACTAATAGTCTGCAGCATCCATAATAAACTTGTCCAAGAAGGTATATTTGAAAGAGAGTATGTGACACCTGGCATCTTGGCTGTTATTTTTTCTCAAGTGGTCAGATGAAACCACTATCAGATCTTCAGAGAAGTTGGTTGTATCGTAGAGAACTTCTCAGTTATTCTAGCTCCTGAGAATACTTGGAACTCGTCAGCAAACTGAAATGAGAAGTAGTAGACATAGCCAAAACCAATTACCAGGAGGTTACATGCTAGAGACTATTTAGGAAAATCAAAGTAAAATTACAAGTATAGACCACATGGATGATTACTAAAGAATTTAAATAATTTGAGATAATTTAAAGTAAAAGATGTTCTGCATGTTTTTAAGGGTCTTAAGGAGAGCTATGAGTAATCAATGTAGCAGAGAGATCCCTTTAGAAAGATAGAGTCTTGGACTAAAAGAGGGCATGTTGGAAGGGAGAAGGCCAATCAGAAGATATAATCTTTACAACTCTATTCTAGTCATCAGAAGAGAAGAATCATATTTGGTCTAGGGAGAAGGAAAATAAAGACCCAACAAATGTTGTGAAGGATAAAATAGCTATCTTCATGAAAGATTGGGAAGGGGGCCATGAGGAATCAAAGGGTTACCAGATTTAGTGTGTGGAAGATGGTAAGATGAGGTTTTCTGTCAGGGAACATAGAAGACAACTGATCCTTTGTAAAGAAGTATGTATTTTCTATTTCTCATGTTTCTATGGAGCGGTATCAGGATTCTGGTCAAGAAGTAGTATGTTTCAAATATGTAGCTTTAGCTGGACATTTGCAGCTATTTTTTTACATGTAGAAAATGGTAGTAATTATTTCACTTATTTTTCTTACATATTCCAGGATAACACATGGGAGAGTTATAATCACTTGAATTTTATGATTTTTGTAATTGAGTTTATAAGATAGGTATGAGTTAATGGCCAAGTGAAGAAGGAAGGAAAGAAACAGGAGGAAGGGAAATAGAAGGGGAAAGAGGGAAGGAAAAGAAGAGAAAACCTATAAAACTATATCAAAGTAAAAGAAGTAAAGAAGATTTTCTTAGGCCATTTAGCTTCCTAAGGATGATGATTCAGCTATTTTAAGAATATAGTTGTTGGAACTTGTTTATCAAGTTGAGTGGGGAAGGGAAAATTCTCTGGAATTAATTTTGTATCCATTCAAAAAATAATGTTAAGAGTCTTCTTTGAAAAAAAATTATAGATAATGTAAATTCCAAGGTAATATTACTATAGTTTCTCTTTCAAAATACAGTATGTTCTATTTAAAGTATCATAAATATGTATACAATAGGAAAGGATCACGGTTCAAGGAAGCTATTTTGTGAAGCTTGAGACCACTCCTTTGCCAGCCCTGTATGTTCAATGCAGCTGAGGAATTTACCTCTTTTGAACATCCTAAATGAGTGGGTTTTTCAGGCTGATTAGGAAAATCCACACTAAATTACTTAAATGAAAATAAAATATTTCATGATTACTAAAGGATTTCAACTCTTTTAGATAATTTAAAATATAGATACCTATATGCATAATTTGAGGTTGAAAACCTCTTAATATAATCATAGATTTAAAATTTTTGAAGATAAAGATCAATTTTATCCATACTTCTATTTTCTATTTTTGAACTTCATTTTAACTGTAATGGCATTTTAAAATACAGTCTTATGCTTTTCCTTCTAAAGTTAATAATTCTAATGTTAATATATTTATGTTCTTTGGGGGATATTGGGTATCCCTATTCTGTTTTATTTCAGCTAATTTTTAAATTGTGATTTTTTTTTAAAGCGTGCTGATGACATTACAAGTTTAGTCACAGATACTACACTTCTTGTACACTTTTTTGGAAAGAAAGGAAAAGCTGAGCTCAACTTTGAAGATTTTTATAGGTGAGCTTAATTTTTATATTTGTATTAAAATGTTAACATGATAACACCAGAAAGGTCTTTAGGAATCATTTAGTGCAGTGATACTCACCTCTTTGCTGTTTTCATCTTAACTAGAGATACTCTCTGTAACAAATACCTACTTCCATCAGTACCTGTATACCAGTGGTTCTATTGATAACTATAACAGGAAGTCACTGAATAATTTTTTAAAAAGTCTGGATATCTGGATTTATTATTTCCTATATTCTCAGAAGAAAGAATGTTACCAATTCCTTAGTCTCAATAAGCCGCAATAATAATAGTAAGCAGGTATATAGTGCTTACTGTAGTGAACACTAGGCACAACATATTAACTTCTTTAAGTCTCATCACTACCCTGCAGGGTATTTTTGTTATGCCCATTTTACAGATGAGGAAGCCAAAGTCCTGAAGGGCTAAGTACCACCTATTACCATCACTATTTATCTTAATGTTTATCTCTTTTCGTCATAGGTTCATGGATAACCTCCAAACAGAAGTTCTAGAAATAGAATTCCTTTCCTACTCTAATGGGATGAATACTATCAGTGAAGAAGATTTTGCTCATATTCTTTTACGATATACAAATGTGGAAAATACGTCAGTATTTTTGGAAAATGTGCGTTACAGTATACCTGAAGAAAAGGTACCTAATCCCCATATTTGTTATTATCTTGTAATTATATAGGTCTATAAAATATATTGTCTTTTTGTTAATTCTTCTGCTCCTCTATGGATTAATAGATACTTTGTATATATTTCATCCTTTTTCTCTCTGCCTTCAGTGCTCTGGCTAAATTTTTACATTGATTAATTTTAAATTCTGGGTATTTTTCTTATATATGCTGAAAACCCTTCAGGTTATTAGCAATTGTTTTATGCAAATTATGAATACCATTTTTAAGAGAATTCTGGTGAGCTATATGCTTTGACTATTATATAAACATCACCTTATATAAAACAGTTTCACTGACATCACATCAGTCACGCTTTATTCATTTCTAGAATACCCTTAGTAAAAGGTCCTTAGAAGATGGCTATTGATGAGTGAATGATCTTATCAGCAGTTAAAGTGAGGTTTTTCAAAGAGTTTGGATGGCATGAATGGTTAAGAACCTGGGACAACTGATTATCTATTTGTTTAGTACCAAATGTTTTGTCAGCAATTCTGAGTGGCTGCATTATCTAGTGGTATTTGAATGCATCATTGCAACCCAATAGAACTGGTGTTAAAGTACCCCTTCAAGCATGGGATGTTTTGGATATACTGTCTTCTATTTGTGTTTATAGAAGGATCAAGATAATCTATCCAAGAAAAACTTGCAAATGGTTTGACTTTGTTTAAAATGGTTACACTCTGACTGTGCTAACAATTCTGTAGTTCCCCTAAGCAGTGAGGAAAAAAGGACTTGATGCATTTGAACATTAGCTTATATAATGTCATAGGGATCTTTTATCTGTTTTACATGTTGACCTGAATTTTTTCCAATTCATACACACTTCCCTAAAAATAAATATTGGAAATTGTACTGTTTTGTCAAGCTACTAGTGTTACTATTCAGAGCCTTGAGGAATCTTTTTTTCTCATCCAGTGGATACTTAAAAAAAATCTGTAATTCAAAAAATTTCAATTCTAGGGTAAAGAGTGTAGGAAATTCTTTGTACTATTTTTGCAACTATTTTTTACATCTGAAAGTATTTCAAAACAAAAAATTTTCTTTTCAGTTAAATTCAGCTTCTGTTTATTTTGTTTGTTTTTGTTTTTGTTTTCATTATCTCATCAGTCCTTGCCACCTCCACCCAAGTCACTTCTCTCTTGCCTGGATTATTGCGATTGCCTCCTAAATCATCTCTCTGCCTCCAGCTTTGCCTCCATGTGATCTGTTCTCCATTTAGCATTTAAGGAAATGCTTTCTATAATGATTCAGATCTCATCATAGTAACCTCCCATGTTTCTCCTTACCGTGGGCTCCAGGGCCTACACAGGCTGCTCCCTCGTTACCTCTGACCTCACTTCCTCCCATTCTCCCCCTTCCTCGCGCTGCCACAGCCACACTAGCTACTGTACAGTTTCTCAAACCAGCTAACCTGCTGACTCAGGGCTTTTGTACGTGTTCCCTTCTCTGCCCAGAATGCTTTTCTCTTAGATACACACATGGATCGCTACGTTATTTCCCAATGATGCCTAACCTTCCAACCTATTATATAAAGAATCACCTATTATATAAGTAATACATAGCCTATTATGAAAGTGATAACACAGTAGATGAATTATAACTCTCTCCCTTGACATTCTTTATTCCTTCTTCCTTAATCTGTTTTTATTTCCATAGCCTTATCGCCTTCTAACATACTATATAATTTACTTATTTTCATTTTTTTATTGTTTATCTGGATAAACAGTAGAATTTACTTAATTAAGTGTTGTCTGTCTCCCCTACCTAGAATATAAGCTCCAGGAAGGCTGGTATTTTTATCTGTTTTATTCGCTCATATATTGACAGTACTTAGAACTCCTGTCAAATGAATTGAGAGTATTTAAAGATGTAGAACTTAAAGCTTTTCTGGTTTTGTGAATTTTGCCTACGTATATATCCACTCATGTGAAATGGCTGATATGCCAGGTTATTTAATATAGTCTTGTTTATAATAGCAAAAGATTGGAAGCTACCTAAATGTCTTTCAATAAGTTACTGGTTAAATAAATTATGTAACTATAGCATGGAAAAAGTTGCAGCTGGAAAAAGACTAAGAAAATTCTTTATGTGCTAATACAGAATGAGCTCTAAGATGTAGTAAATGAAAAAGAGCACAGTTTAGAACAGTGTGTATAGTAAACCACCATTTTCTAAAAAGATAGCCTGGGCTAATTCTGGAAGGACCCACAGAGCTAGAAACATTGGTTCCTCCAAGGATAAGGAGCTACGTGGCTGGGGGACAAGGGTAGACGAGAGGGAGATTTTGGGTCATATCTCTCTTGTGCCTTTTGAATTTTGAACAGGTGAATATATTGCCATATAAAATAAATAACTTTAAAATGTTTTAAATACCATGGGACCAGGAGAACTTATCCAGGAGAGAATGTAAACAGAGACTGTAGAAGGGAAGGGAAGAAGGCTTCTCACAAAAGCCACATAATGTAAATATTAACAAGCACCCTACTCCCGTTTTCCATGATATCACTCCCCTGTTCTCCTCCTGGTCTTCTGATAATTATTTCAGACCTACGTACCTCGACCAAAGATAACAGTTGCACACACTGGGGCACTCTCATGGCTATGGGCAGAGCACAGTATCAGCCAGGACAACCAGTGTAATTATGGTAGCAGTTTGATATCCACAGCATTTTCTGATTTGTCTTTTTATTGAATTATGTCTATTAACTATCTCGGTTTTTGCCTAGTTATGCCTTGCCACAGTTCAGTCCAAGTGCACCTATGTATGCATGTTCGTATCCTGAATGACATATTTCAATAAGTGTATGCAAGTTTTTATTCTTGTAAAATATGCATAACATAAAATTTTCCACTTTAACCATCTTAAAGAATAAAATTCAGTGGCACTGAGCACATTCACAGTGTTGTGCAATCATCATTACTACTTGTTCCAGAAATTTTTCATATCTCAAACAAACCCCATACGTATTAATCACTCCCCAGTCATCCTCCTCTCAGCCCCTGGCAACCACTAATCTGCTCTCTGTCTCTGGGTTTGTCTCTTCTGGACATTTCACATAAGTAGAATCATACAATATATGACCTTTTGTGTCTGGCTTCTTAAACATAGCATACCTTTTTCAAGGCTTATCCATGTTGTAGCAAATATCAGCACTTTCTTTTTATTGCCAAATAATACTCTATCATGTAGATAGTACCACATTTTGTCTTTTTGTCAGTTAGCGGGCATTTTAGTTATTTCCAATTTTGGCTATTCCGATAATACTCTTAAGAACTTTTGTATACAGTGCTTTATGTGGACATATGTTTTGAATTCCAGAGAATTAGGTATATACCTCTGAGTAAACAGCTGGGTCACATGGCAATCTTAATGTTTAACATCTTGAGGAATTGCCTAACTGTTCTCCAAAGTAGCTACAGCATTTTACAGTCCCATTAATGATATATGGCTGAGTAGGATTCCGTTGTATAAATATACCACAACTAATGTATCCAGTCAGCTGTCAATGGACATTTAGGTTGCTTTCATATCTTGGCTATTGTAAATAGTGCTGTTGTGAACATTGGGGTGCATGTATCTTTCTGAATTAGAGTTCCCTCTGGATATATACCCAGAAGTGGGATTGCTGGATCATATATAGTAAGTCTATTTTTAGTTTTTGAGGAATCTCCATACTGTTTTCTGTAATGGCTGCACCAAACTGCATTCCCACAAGCAGTGTAAGAAGGTTCCCTTTTTTCCACAGCCTCTCCCGAATTTACCATTCATGGACTTTTGATTGATGGCCATTCTGACTGGTGTGAGGTGATACCTCATTGTAGTTTTGCTTAGCATTTCTCTGATAATTAGTGATATTGAGCATTTTTTTCATGTACCTATTGGCTATTTGTATGTCTTCTTTGGAGAACTGCTTGTTTAGGTCTTCTGCCCATTTTTGGATTGGGTTGTTTGTTTTTTGTTATTAAGTTATATATTCTGGAAATTAAGCCTTTGTCAGTCACATCATTTGCAAATATTTTCTCCCATTCCATAGACTGTCATTTTGTTTTGCTTATGGTTTAGTGTGTACATATTTTTGATGTGATAGATTTTCAGTTATCATCATGATTTTGTTTTTGTTAAAATGTAAGCTTCTTTTCACTTCATTTCTAACAATTAGGACGTACTCTATTCAAGTCCCAGTGGTTCATTACAGAAGTGATTCTGGGAGTAGGAATGTGGAGGGAGAAGAAATGACCATACTCCCCTTTCTCTGCAGCTCCCCCAGACGGTCCTTCCCTCGCTGCTGTTAAGAATGGATTGCTTTAAATAATCTCCATCAAAATGATATGCCCTGCTTATCAATTTACAGTTTCATATTTCTAAACACAAAGAGTGTAATATACACAAAAGAATTACTGTGTTGTTTTGAATTTGACTTGTCTCTGCAAACATAAGAACTCTATTTTGAAAAATCTCAAGGTTCAGTTGGAGAACATTATATTCTATCATTCTTTGATTTGCTTTTAATTTTAACCTCCCTAAAAGTATTGACATTTTTGTTTACACTTTGCTTAAAAATATCCCATCCTCTTGTTTTTCACTTTTACCATTATTAACCAGTCACCTTGACACAGAGACTGCTGCTGGGGCAACTGATTACAGCACAAACTGATACAGAACCAGAGCAGTGGCCGGTTTCCCTGGCAACAAGCTCTTCGCATCAAGACAAACCCCTTCTGGCTCAGTCTCCCTAACTGAGGCAAATAGTTCTCTCTGGAAAAACATGGCGATTGGGATCAGATCACAAAGCAGAATCCAGAGCTGGAGTGGCCATAAATGAATATAAAGAAAGAGAAAGAGAAAAACTGAAAAGACAGGATTCTTCTTGAAAGCAAAGAGGGTTTGTAATTGAAGTGGAACCAACAGTATCAAAATTTGGCATTATTATTTCAGTAACAAATTGATCATAAATATTATTTTGATAATAAATCACTTACTCAGTGGTTGGCTTATATGGAAGTAGACACTGGTTCTTTGCCCAGCTTTCCAGTGCTGCCTCATTAGTTTCCCTTCCCCTGAGACCCCAGTATTAAGGTCAGAATTTGTCAAGCCCAAACTCATGGCCCTCTGTTCTTTTCTGTTTACTTTGTCTCTCAGTTTTGTTCATTTTGCCAAGGAGAACATGTTCATTAAATGCAGCTCTTCTTATCCAAGTTTGTATTATCAGAGATACATTGTGCTTATTCAGTAATTGACGTAATAGCAGTGGTGATCATTTCAGTTTATGTAAATGACATTTCCAGAGTCCTTTCCATGCTCCTGCCCAGAGGCCTGAGCTGGGCCCCCCAGAGCTGAGTGCAGAGTCATTGTGCTTCCTCCTGCTGTTCTGGCAGCCTTCCATGGCAGGAACAAGTGAAAATACACTCCCATTGGCTTATTCGACATTCCGATTTTGCATTGTCATTATAAAGACATTAGTGACCTAAGCAGAAATACATTTAGGGAATACATGTACAGGAGAAACTGTTTTTAGGGTCCCCCCCCCTCAATGATCATACTTACTTTTAGAGTTTAAAAAATTCAGGCCTGAAATCAGGGTTTTCAAAATTGAAACTTTTTAACTTATTTTTATTGTAGCATGTCTTGAACTTTATGCTGCTATGATAGTGTTTTAAAAATATTTTCACCCAACATTGTTCATGGTAACATTACCCAGTGGAAATAAATCTGAGTGAATTTTACATTCCATTTGGAAAAGGTTTACAGAATGTGCCCTGGAAATATTTACTTACAAGATATATTGCTGATGCTTGATCTATTTATTTCTAGTAAGTGTAGATACTTATTTTAATAAATTTGGCAATACTAAATATATTTACATGTATTCTCCCAATATAGGGTATTACCTTTGATGAATTCAGGTCATTTTTCCAGTTTTTGAACAACCTAGAAGACTTTGCAATAGCACTGAATATGTATAATTTTGCAAGTCGTTCTATAGGACAAGGTAAGTAATAAACTTTTAAAAATTAAAAGCAAAAAATAATCCTACACTGTTTCTAGGGACTTTGACAACAAATTAACTAGATACATAATATTAGTCATCAATTTGCCTGCAAGTTTGGTGTATACTTCCAGAGCAAATTTTTTTTCCCTAAGCAAAATTTAAGGAAATATATTACATTTTTGTATTAAATTTATTATCGCCCTTCCTTTCATATTATGGAGAAAGGCTAATGACTAACGGTTCAAAGAGGAAGACACCTCAAGGCTGCTTGGTGACACTGAGGGATACATGTCTACCTATAGAAGAGCCAGCTGGTTGTGCCTCAGACAGCATCATAGGATAATATTTATAGTGTTTACCCACACTGCCTGCTGGCTCAGAAACCTGAATTTTATCAACAGAGCCACCTCTTGGCTCTGGACTTAAACATTAAGTGAGTTTTAAGAATAATGTATAAAAATGACTGTCAATTTTGCCTTATTTACCAAAAAACACAACTGCCACCAAATTCAGAATGCTGTTGTCCTCAGGACCAGCTCATTCTTTCCCTATAGGTAGACTCACAAATCAAGTCCCCTCTCCGGGATTCAGTGGCTATGACCACTTTCCCTTACCCCCTAGCCATATCCTTTTAAAATGTCCTTACTGTCAGAGAACTTTTCTGTTTGTGTCTTTAAGTTGATTTCCCCTGTGTCTGCCATAATCTAACAAGTGCTGATCCCCCAGCTTCATCTCAGAGCACAGTCTTGTTATTTTCTTACCAAGTTCTGGGGAGAAGGCAGACTGCTGCCCCTAAGAGCTCGTGATGTTTCTCTTCTCCCCAAAACACAGGTAGCGAATCCCTTATATGGCTTCATTGACTTACTCACTGAGTAACAGAAACCTGAAAGTTTTTCATATCCCACCCTTTGACTGGTCTAGGTGTTCAAATAAGGCATCTTCTTATCTCAACACATTTTAGTGTTTGGGTTAAAACCCAAACCTTTGGGAGCCCTGCCTTAACAGACCAATTTTTACTGCCATGGTAAACCTACTCATCAACCTTAAAAAGAAAAAAAAGTCAGTATCTGCTTACCTGGTTCAGAATGGGAAGTTGCTCTTTTACTTTGTGGAACTGGGAAATGAAAAAATCACTCTTGTAGGTGCTGGGAATATATGCGTCTCTCTCTCTCTCTCTCTCTCTTTTTTTTTTTCTCTCTGTTGCTACTTCTTGCACCTTAATTCAGGTTATTGCCTCTTACAAAGCACTACTTCTGTAGCCACCTCAGTGGTATTCCTGCCATTACCCACCTTTCTGTCCAGTGTTTCCTGAACAACCCACAGAATTCTCTTTCTAAAACAGACTAACCTTGACACACCTGCTATGGAAAATGCTTCAGTTTCCCAGTTGCCTGTTGAAGAATGTACAGATTCCTCGCCTCCCAGTCCCCAAGCAGAGCTCCCCAGCTCCTGCATTTCCAGATGGCTCATTTTCTGAACATGCCCCATAGTCCTGTCCTCCTCCTGCCTTTGTTCATGCCTGTCATCTCATCTGCTATTTCCTCTCCTCTCTACAAGCGGAAACTATCAGTCCTTCAGGGCTCGGCTCAAATACAAAACTGCAGCCTTTCCTAATCACTGTCCTTCCCCTGCTCCGCACTGCAGCAGAAGTGGCATTTCTGCAGTCTCACAGCACTTTGTTGCTGCTTTTGTGTGGTCCTGTGTAATGATTAGTTGGGCAGATGTCTCATCTCCCACCTGAACTGTAAGTTTCTTGAGAACTTACTCACTTTAAGAACTCGGAAGTGTCTGTCGCTGATGGTAGGTGTTCATTAATCATCTACTGAACATGAATGTGTTACAGCCTACCGTACAGCTACTGCTTGGCCCTCTCAATTAAAACCACAAAAATTTTTGTTCCCTAAAAGACAGCATGACTACTGAAAAGTGGTATGTTACATAAGATCATGACCCATGTTTAGGAAAAAACTTCTTTTATAACTTGGCTAGTAATTAACACATCTTATAAGAATAATGTTAATGGTTTGCCCCTTTTCTATATCATTTACCTAGATGAATTTAAGCGTGCTGTCTATGTAGCCACTGGCCTCAAACTTTCACCACATTTAGTGAACACAGTCTTCAAGATTTTTGACGTTGACAAAGATGATCAATTAAGTTATAAAGAATTTATTGGAATTATGAAAGACAGACTCCACAGAGGATTCCGGGTAAACCTATAAATTTCAAGCCTATTGATATCCTTTTTAAAAACTGAAAGAAAAAAGTCCATCTAAATTTCAGAAATGACTTACATAAATTTTTTAAGGATATAAACATGCAATATTATATTTGAAAAGAAAAAAACTAAGGTCCTACCTACTTTCAAAAACAATTTGAGGCGATAAAAGATAATACTTTTTAAAATGTAAAAATCAGTTTTAATTTCAATAACTTATTTTCATATTCAGTTAATGTCGTCTCAGTTTGTTGGGGGAAATGTTGCCAAATTTATCTTGATTACTTCAGTCTACATACTGGCTATTCAGACTTGTTATTACAAAGAAATATCACTGTTTCTCATTTTATATGATGCAGATTTCCACTAGGCAACATGAGGTTCTTAAGTCACTGCATATTCAGTGCTTTTTATATGGAAAATGAGGTAAAAAAATGGTTTCTTCTGTCTGTTGAACTATTTTTTTCCTGTTAACACCTTATATGCAAAGTAATTACAAGAAATTCAATGATTTTCTTCCTCAGAAATGTGTTTTACAGAATGAAATGTAGCATGAATCAGTAAATGTTTACAAATTTAATGCATTTGGATATACCACAACTGGAAAAAGAAAAACAAATTTTCTATTAAGATTAACAGCTAGAATATTCAGTCTTACCTCTTTGGTAAGAGAACCCCTAAAGATTATACATTTAAAAAGAAAAAAAATTATTTGTACAAGAAATCAAGATTCATCTTAGACAATTTTTTTAAGATTTTTAATGGATTTTTAAAATCCAACATGTCTTGATAAAGATACTGTGTACTTAACTGCCACCTAGTGGTTACTTGTTAACATTTGCAGTGATGGCACAAATACCTAAAAGGGCAAATCTTGAAAATCATTTCTTTTTCCTCAAATATTTTAGAGTAGCAAGATCAAATTAAAATATAAACTAGCTATAAGCCTCTGGCACTGTATTTCTCTCTTAGGTGTTATATATTTTTATTTTTGCTTTATTTATTTATTGCATCTCTGTGACCCCGTAACATTTTATTTACATTTGCACACTTTTAATCCTCGTTTCACAGGGTTATAAAACGGTTCAGAAGTATCCCACTTTTAAATCCTGTCTGAAGAAGGAACTGCATAGCAGATAAGTATGTTTAGGGCCATAAATTATTTTTCTATTATGACATTTAGGAAATGACTGAAAGAAATAGAATTATAATTTATTTTTGATTTTTAGCTCACTAACTCAGATTTAAGAATTAGTCTTTTAATGACTTTATTTTAGACAAGTAATTCAGTTAAAGAATAATCATTATAAGAAAGCATTCAGTTGCCAGTATTAAGTTGTGATCTAAAAGTGAACTGGATTAAATAGTCATCTGACTAGAATTTTCATGGAGTGTCCTGATTGAAAAATTTTCTGTTTAACCTGCAGTTCTGTACCTGAGCAGATACAATATAATGAATCCAGATTGGGTTTTTATAATCTAGACTCATTAGCATCTACAGAATATTTATCACTATTTTTTAGGATCATGATTCCAAACATCTGCTACAATAAGAGCAACTAATTTTTTAGTTATTTTGGGTGCCTGGCACTATACTAGGTGTTCTTCTATATGTAGGGTCTCATTTAATTGTTACAGGTAGATATCCCATTTAACAGCAGAGAAAATAGAGGCTTAGTGAGTCATTTGCCCAAGATAACTTCCTAGTAAGTTGCAAACCAGGATTTGAGCCTCCTTTTGTGTGATGCAAAACCATCTTAGTTATTATTTACTACACTATCACCATAGAATGAAATAGTTGAGGAAGATACAAGTGATCTGTTCAGTTTGTATCAACCCAAAGAAATATCTCAAACTTGTTGCTGATCTCCAAATAAGGGATTTGTTTCCTCTTCTTTCTTTTAAAAGTCAGTTGCATCCATAGAATTTTGGTCAATTGTGTGTTCTGATTAGATCTTTGCAGTGAAGATTTGTTCATTTATATGTGCTTACAAATATGTATTTCTTGCTGTTTTCCTCAAGCTTAAAACCTTTATATTTGTCTATAGCAGCATTACTAAAATCATTCCATAAGATATCAATGCATGTTATTTAAAAGCAAAAAAAGCTGCTTAGAAATAAGTATGAGAAATAATCATAATAAACATGTTTCATAAGTTCCTTTCCCCTTAGAACCAATCAGATCTTAATACGCCACTACTGATTTGACTCTCTAGAAGAAAACCGGGGTATTTGGTACTTTGCAAAGTAGCTTTGAAGCCTAATGTTTTGTGGAGCCCATTTAGGGAAATGCTGGCCTAAAATGTTCAGTTGTAAGTAGGCTTAGTTATTAACTAAGGTGGTAACTGTTGTGATTGGGCTAACAAAGAAGTCAGGTCTTCCTAATCTCTATTTTGAGGAACTTTATATTGCCCTATAAGAAGTTAAACATTTAAAAAAACAGTAGGACTGTCCCATTTATATGTCCATATTGGTAGTGTTCCCACCAACTTGTGATACTGTCACACTGACGCTATTGATTCTATGTAGTAGGACGCAGAACCATAGATACAAATGACTACATAGATTCTAGAGCTATATAAGACTGAGAATTAGACAAGTAACTAAACAAAACACTGAACTTTTTTTTTCATAGCAGAGTGAAAGTAGATTTATCCAGGGAGATACACACTCCATAGACAGAGTGCAGGCCATCTCAGAAAGCAAGAGGCCGCGAGGTGTGGGGGGTGTTTAATTTTTTTTTTTAACTGAAGTACAGTCCCTGTTTAATTTAAAGTATATAGATAGAGTGCTGGCCATCTTAAAAGACAAGAGAGAGAGGTGGCCAAAACACTGAACCTTTAAATTAAAGTCTTAAGTCTTAAGTGACTGAGTCTTTGATTCTACGTTTTCTGTTGGGTGTTCTGTTTTGGTTTGGTTTGGTTTTTTCTCCATAGCATACTTTACACGTGTTTTACTTGCCTTTTCTGTTGGGTGTTTTTATTATGGGCCTTACTGTTTCCTGTTATCATAATAATTGGTTAATGCCATCACCTCTGAATTTCATCCTAAATAAATACTACTTTTATGTATTACATATGTGTATTTTTTTAATTAGGCACTTCTAAAGCAAAGTTTAAAGGATTATTATCTACTTGAAAATGCAAGAAGCAAAAATTTCAGAGAGCAGAAGCAGGTCTGAGATCAGAACTTGCAGAAATGAAGGAAAATGTGAAACACTAATTGTAATTTTTTCTTGAACTGAATTACTGAACATAAGACCGATAAGCTGCATCTTCTTACTAACTGTAAATGTTAAGTTTTATCATGTTGAGCTTTTGCCTTGATTTACTGAACTCTCTGCACTTTTTCATTCCCTTCAGAAGTACATAGATTCTTCCAGCGACTATATAAGAATGTATTTTTAATTTTTTTAAATTTATTAGAAAGTTGTCTCATTTCAAAATAATGTATCATTTCTGGAATCTAGATCACTTAAAAATGAACAGCAACATATTTCCTTTGGTTTTGGACTGTGAACTTACTTTTAGAAAATGAATATTCCTTGAGATTTATCTTAGGGCCCTTAGAATTGTTAATAAATCTCCATCATTTACCAGGTCTTTAATTACATTGAAATAATTTTGAAACACAAGTAGAAATCGAACTACTATACAATACAATGGTTTATATTGTACTTTTAACTTTTGAAAGTCCTTAATTAATACATATTGTTGAATCACGTAAAGTTCTTTTTTAAGTTTTTGTTCATTTACCAAAGTCAACAGAATGTCTAGTATTCTTTTATGTATACAGTAAAGAAATTTAAAATGTAGATTTCTTTTCCACAAAAAAGTCATACATTGATTGTAGAAACAGTGGAAGTTTTTGTAGCAGTGGTCACTGTTATTGTCATTATTGTTTTAAACATGATGCAGCTCCTGATGGCAGATGGTATATGTTAATAACACTAGTAAAAATAATACCTTAGGCTCTGTAACTTAGCGCATATTTTTAGTACATGTTGTAGTGTCAGAATGAGAACTATAAAAGACTAATATAAAATGGTTTAGAAGACTGATGTATATATTAGATAGAAGTTAATATTTTGTTTCTTGCAAAAGGACCACATGCAAAAGTAATGCATAACAACCAGTAATAATGAATAATTTAAATCTAATTCATTATTTCAAAATAGTATATCTTAAAAGAGAAAAGAAAAACTTTCTATTGAAAAACAACAAAATTAGATTTTTACATGGAGGAAACAATTTGATAGTATTTAATGGAAATCTGTTCAATTAGAAAAGTATAGTTTATAAAAGGATACTATACAAAAATAGAACAATGAATTTAAGTTAACGTATTTATTTATTGTATGTGGAAGATAAGTTTATTTATCTTCTTTTCTAAGATGTATTAAATATAAATTGCACCTTCCAACACCTTGCTTTTACATATGAAAAGAGGAAATACTGACTTTGTTTTTATAAGTTATTAAATGTAAAATTGGTAGTTCTGCATCAGCCTATTTATAAAGTAATGTTATTTCCAAGAAAATGTTGTTAGCATTGACAGTGTATTTGTTAGACTTTCTACATTCTTTATCTGATATTATTTATTACATTGATATAGAAATATATATTCATTAATTTGAGGATTTCATACAGTATAATTTACTTTCGCCTGCTTTGAAGGTTGATTTAATTGATTGACTAAATAATAACTACCCTCTCATTTAACATCCCCCAGCTCTATTTTACCTTATACTGAATGCTCTCAATATTATGTGCTATCTAAAATAATTGAAAAAATGCCACTTACTTTTATTTTTGACTATAAGCTAGATTATTTTGCATACATGGAAAAATTGCTATCTAGAACAGTCCTATAAATACAGATTAAAAACTGAATAAGCTCATTGGCATTCTTTATAATTCTGTCATTCTCCCAAGGAATACTACATACGCAATCTTTATTGCTTATCACAGTGAATGGATATTCATCATTCATCATTATAAGACTGCAGCATAATATTAAAATCTAAATAGATAAAATATTCTGATCAATTAAAATGGAGTAGAGTAGTAAATTATAGTGATTCTTCATATATTACCACTCTTGAACTTTATCACCTATAAAATGAGAGGTAAAAATATGTCACTGGATTGTTGTTTACATCAATTAAAAAACTTTAAATGCTCTGAAAATAGTAATGTACTAAATTACATGTATGCTCTTCTCAGTATTTCCTTCTACAGACTATTCTTTGGAAAGATGAAGCTACACATAAAATTTTAGTATCATACTCTTTACAGAAGACTATATGATAAAAGGTTTGTGTAATTATCAGAATCATTTCATATTAAGAACTTCATTTAACTTAAGTTCCAGTTTATTGTTCTTATGAAATGTAATTGTAAAGTGGCCTGTCTTACATTCTTATGTTATCTTAAAATAAATATATCTGCTCTTGAATCAAGAAATTTAGTACTTTGCTTTTATGTATATCGTGGACTAATGTCTTTCTGAAAAATGTCACCTACAAACTTTAGAAATCTTTGTTGATTACCAAACCTTCATTGATCTTATGCCCCCTGCTATAGCAATACATTGCCAATAAATTAATCTCATCAACACTTTTCGTAAGGGAATAAATCACAGAGCCATAAAGCCTCTCAAAGTGTATAATAGGAATTCATACATTATAGAATTATAGCCATTGGCACTGGAAGACTTTCAGAAAGTTTACATGTGAATGGAGTATCAATTTTTGCTTTCCAGAACCGACTGTTTAAATGGCTTAAAATTATTAAACCAACACTACAGCAGCCCTTGGTTTACTAATGTTGATATTTTGTAGGCATCATCTTACTAAGACAACTCCTAGAAATTTACCAGTTTTCAAAATACACTGCAGTAGTCCTCCCTTATCCACGGCTTCATTTTCTGTGGTTTCTGTTACCTGTGGTCAACCTGGGTCTGAAAATATTAAATGGAAAATTCCAGAAATAAGTAATTCATTAGTTTTAAATTGCATGCCATTTGGAGTAGCATGATGACATCCCACTCTGTCCTACCTGGGCTGTGAATCCTCCCTTCGTCCCCTCTATCAGATCAACTGTCATGGTATCACGCTGCTTGTGTTCAGCGATCCTTATTTTACTTATAATGGCCCCAAGTGCAAGAGTAGTCATACTGTTCATTTGGATACGTTAAAGAGGACTTGCTTGCTTTAAGTGAAAATGTGAAATTTAATAAGGAAAAGAAAAGTCGTATGCTGAGGTTGCTAAGATCTACAGTAAGAATGAATCTTCTATCCCTGAAGCTGTGAAGAAGGAAAAAGAAATTCACGCTGGTTTTTTACTGTCGCACCTCAAACTGCAAAAGTTACAGCAACAATGTGGTAAGTGCTTAGTTAAGATGGGAAAGGCATTTAATTTGTACACTAAGATATTTTGAGAAAGACCACATTCACATAACTGTTACTACAGTATATTGTTATAATTGTTCTATTTTATTATTCGTCACTATACCTAATTTGTAAGTGAATCTGTATCATAGGTATGTATGTATAGAAGAAAACATAGTATTTACAGCGTTCGGTACTTTGCATGGTTTCAAGCACCTCCTGTGGGTCTTGGAATGATGTATCTCCCACAGATAAGGGGATCTGCTATAATCATCCTCCTTTTTATAGACATACAATAAATTAACATTTTTACATAGTGCTTTTACTTCCAAAGGATGTTAAAATATGAACTATAAATACTCAATAAGTATAAAGCTAAAATTATGAGTAGTAAGAAAGCATTGTGGTTTTTTTTTCTTTTAATTGGCAGCATTTTACTTTCTTAGTAGTTCATAAAATAATGGTGTGTCTTGCAATCAATCACATCTTAAGTTCTGTGAAATATTGTGTGATGAAAATCAATGCAAAGATGTAATTCTTTTACACCTTTATATCTTTATAATTTTCTTTATATTACCATCAGTACTTTTGGCACATATCTTAAAAACTGAGGAATATACTTGTAATTGTGACTATATGCATGTAGTTTTACAGTGCTCAGATGGAGTAAAAAAATATTATAAAAATTTTCTGGAAAAGATAACTTTTGTCCACTATTGAAAAGGAAGGGAAGGACAAGTGTTTATGTGAAGTAGAGAGTAGGAAGAGAATGGAGATGGAATCTTGAATGACAGTAGACTTTAAAAATTGGGATTTGTAGTCAGTTTTTAGAAAACTAAATTTAAGGAAATGCAAATTAAATCAATAATGACAGTATATCCACTCACATACCAGACTGAAAAGATAGAAAGCTTTTATAGCATGTAGCATTGGTAAGTGTGCGGGGCAATTGCTGGTGAGGCTATGACTCTGGGTGCAACACCTTTGGAGGGAAACATAGAAACAGCTCAAAGCTCTGATCTAGCACTTTACTTCTGGGATTGCAACATCCCAATATGTGTATTTAGAAATTAGCATGAAAGGGACCATAAGCTCATGTATCTAATGAGCTGTTATTGAGCTGTTTGGATGTTTTTAATCATGTCTGTTTACTTTTTTCACAAAATCACATTTTTAAAACTTAGTACCTCAGTCTGGGGAAAAAATGGGACTAAATCATGAAGGTCATGTGCTGGATAGATTATTTCACCAAGTCCAGAGTTAGGTTACTTCTCCTTGAAGCAGATAGAGGTAGTTTTAAGAAAAAGAAAAGTGTATGGTGATTGTGAGCTTATGGGACTGTCACATGTTTCAGCTTGGATGGCGGAGATGAGAAAGGGATTAATTGATATTGATATTAATGGATACTGAGTATCAGTGAATAGCAGTCACTGGATTTAAAAAGTTAAAGATAGCAGCCATACTGTCTTACAAAACAGATTTTGGTGACATTTACCTAAGAGGCAAAGAACTAAACTTGATTAGTCTAATCCAGTATGACATTTGCTATTTCAAATTCTCAAGAACGAAGCAAGCAGCTTGAAGGTAAGCAAATTAGTGTTCTAGCAGATTTTAAACTGTAGTAAAATGAGCGTTTAGGACAGAATGAAAGACAACTAATCAAGATATTTTCAGTCTATAGTATGTAATGCTTTATTCTTTGCAAGCTCTAGGTGCTATAAGAGTTAAAACTTCAATCTGAAAAATCTACAAAAAACACCCACTCTGAAAATCTATACTTTTTTATGTCATCGCTCTTTGGTGCTAAGAGGTTCTCAAGAAAGTGAGTATCTTATGTACCAATTGTGCTGTAATATTTAATTACAGTGAGTGTACAGAAGATTAGCTGTCTCAAAGATTCTTTTGAAATCAGATTGGACATCAAAACTGCATTGTGCCCTGCTAAGTCAGCAAATTTAAGAAAGAGGAGAAGGTGATGTCAAGACTTATTGCAAAATGAACAAATAAAGGAATAGGATTTGCATGGTGTTCAGCCTTGTAAAGCATGGCCAAATGTCAGCCTTCGTTTGTCAACTTAAATATATTTCTCTAAAATTTATGAAGATTCAGTCTATGGGAAGTATCCTTTAGCTAGTATTGAATTTGAGAAATAAAGCAACATGCTAAGTAGATTATGCTAATAACTCAGTTTTTCATAGTGATTAATTACCACACAAATACGTACATTAGTAATTCAGGTGTAGATATCTGTTGTCTTTTTTGTTATTTTTCTGATTATAATGTTAATACATGTGTTTTTGCTCCTGATACCTGAGATTTTGGAAGCTCAGAGGTTAACCTCTCCTCTCCAATAGCTAGACCCCTCAAACACAACATACAATGAAGCATTTCAGGCCTCCGGGGATTTCTCCCTTCAAAAAAGAAAGTAAAAATAAAACTTTAAAAATATGAGAATTGAGTCCCAAATAACCAGGTATCTTGGATTCTGAGTTGGACTTGCTGGAAATACCAGGAATATAGGTGAGATCTCAGGCCAGAGCAACAGAGTTCACGGGTGCTTGAAACTAGAATGACAGGGAGTCTGTAGCTTTGTGGAGGAGTAGGATTTCTCTGAGGCCAGAATTCTATACTGACAGTATATGAATGTATTCAGCCTTGAGACAGCAATCAGGTGGAGAGCCTGAATCTGAGACCCCTTCCTCTAAGCTAAAACCCTCAAGGAGGTCCTGAATTGTCCTGAGACAAGTGTACACACGCAGAGAGACACATACATACGACTGGCTGAAACAGAAGAAACCATCCCACAAAACTCTCATAGATTACAAATCAAGCTTAACCTCTTAAACAAAGACTACCAAATTCACATAAGGCCTGCCACAATTAGAATCAGCAGAGACCATAAAATCAGACCCCAAAGAATGCAGTTGTTGGAGCTGAAGACAGAAGGCATACAAACTATGAAATAACAAAATTGAGTTACAGAAAAGAAAAACTATAGAATTAAACAGATACACTTACCAGGTAGAATCTCTGGAAATAAAATATTTAATTGCTGAAATCAAAACATCAATCAAGAGTTTTCAGTCCAGTCGTGACTGAGTACCTGGTGTTAAACTTACTGTTCTATCATAAACTACAGTGTTATAGAACAAACACTTAAGGGCTTCGATCCTTGCAAGGAAGGACACACATGTGGTGACCTCTGCATTCATGCTGGCTTGCTGCCAGAAAGCACTTTCAAAACTACAGCAGAGGGAAATGGAGCCCAAACAGAAAACAGAAGTTCCGTGGGATAGAAGAAATGAGATGAGAAAACAGCTACTGGTGGTCACACAGGGCTGAGAGACATGGGAGTTCAACTCAGCCAAAGTGTAGAGGCCTCACTGAACAACCCAAGAATTAAATTAAGGACATCCCTTAAGGAATAAGGCTACTCTCGAATAAGAGTGATTCTAAACCCATCCTAATAAAACCTAAAATTAACCCTTGATAGAAGCAAGCTGCTCTGCCAGTATAGTAACTACCTGCCAAAAACAAAATTCAGTGCTCTTTCAAGGAAAACAACAAAATCCATATTTTTCAATAATGTAACATCCACAACATCCACTATACAGTGGACAAGTATATATGCTGAGCAAGACAATGTGACCCTTAACCAGGGGAAAGAGCAGTCAGTCCACAGAAACAGAAGTTTGAGTTAGTAGATACAAACTTTAAAAGCTCTTATAAATATGTTAAAAAAAGGTTTAAAGGAAAAGATGGACATAATGAGAGAAGAAATGGGAATTACATGCAAAAAATTAAAACTATAAAAAAAAACCAAATGGAAATTCTAGGATTGGAAAATACAGTATTCAAAATAAAAAGTCATTGTACGGACTTAATAGGAGATTGGGGAAAGAGTAAAAAGGGATCAGTAAACTTGAAGGCAAAGAAAGGCCAAGCTATCCAAACTGATGCACAAAGAGGAAAAATTACTGAGGGGAAGAAAGTAGTAATGCATCAGTGACCACGTAAAGCAGTCTACTAAGTGTAATTATAGATCCAGAAGGAGAAAGAGAAGGGTGGAGTGGA